TATAATATATTATGTTATATTATTATATTATTATATTTTTATAATATTAATTTTTATATATAATTAATATTAGCCCAGGGCGTTGCTTATGGATGCGCTGTAGATTCAGCGCATTTACGCGTGAAACATAACAACAGTTTAAACGATTACGAATTTGGATGGCGAACGTTCGGTTAATCGAGATCCCGCGATATTTCCATGGAACGTTGCGACACTCGATAAATCGTAATCGGCCCGTCGAGGTTGCCCCGATATCCGCGAGACTGGACAATTTGTCAGGAACTTATTGAAAGGTAATCGCAGGTCGCCGATGCTTCGCGCAACATGGAAAAGAAAATTATTGGCTCGTGTCGTCGCGGCCAGATACGCTGCTATTATGAATCAACGGACAACTAGACACAGAGTCCCCGTAGTAACCAATAAGTCACGGTTTCCAATTAAAGCCTACCTGTTCCAATACGTTTGGGAGCGTGTGCCGTCGTTGAAATCGTGGAGAGAGAGAGAGAGAGAGAGAGAGAGAGAGAGAGAGAGAGAGAGAGAGCCCCGGCCGTACAGACGGCCGCGCAACAACCGATTCGTTGTCACCAAATTGTACCGCTTTATCCGCGCTTATTCATTCGTGCGATTCAACGAACTCGAACGAATGGCTTGTCATAAAAGTGGCAATGCTCCAGAAACGTCATCGCAATTAACCAACACGCGGCCGAAACGGGAGAGAGTCGTTACCCTAGCCCGTCCGTAAATACTAATCTCTAATACTCTCCGGCTGGTAATCCTGTTCGAATCGTTTCCCGATTCGACCCCGACAAGCGATTAAACGACGATTCGTTCTATCAAAGACGTTCCTCATTGTTTCGCCACCGATCGTTACACGTGCAAATTTTAAACGATTTTGCACGAAGCTCCCTTTCATCCGCGAGCCGATCTACATATGAGCCGTGTATTTTGAAAGTGGCATAAGTCACTTGACCGTGATGAAAAGTGGTGATTTTTTCATGTTTATACGAAATTATTTATACCGAGAAAAATATCGGTATCCTGAGATATAACAAATACAAGTAAATCTTCTCGAAAGTTAGCATCCATATTTTGAAACAGTGTTAAAACGCAAACCCTTAAATATGTCGACTTAAAAACAAAGTGACTTATGCCACTTTCAAAATAAACGGCTCATATGTTTAACGCTAAATCGACCACGGTCGAAGTGGCCGGTTTCTTATTCTCGGTGTGAATTAAACTTGGGTGAAATGTTTACAAATTTTCGTGGGAATCGCTTGGATAAATTTATATTATTGTAATTAATACTTTACAACATCTGAACGGCTTCGATCTTCTTAATTTTAGGTTATGTCAATATTGCTGCAAAGCATCGCAGGACATTTTTTTATTTGTTAACGCATTGGACCAAACGACTAGAATTTTTTTTTAATGGTAGAGAGTATAGTTCGCTAAACAATCGTCAAAAAATATTTTATAAATATTAAAATTGGTTGAAATGACAAAAAGAAAGAAAAAGGAGCTCGTATTTGTTAACTCTTTTATTTGTGCGAGTCATTAAACTGTGAACATTACATACAGTGTCCTGCAACTGGTATAGATTATTTTTATTTTGCATAAAAATCCTGAGTTTAGAGGGTGTCCCAAAAGTTAGAGAAATAAATCGAAGATAAAATAAATCGAGAAATAAAGGGTCCCTGAAGTTATTTTAAGTAACTTTTTCCTTAAGGATAATGCAATCCGTGGCTTTTTTTTTCGTTTACGAGCTATTAACGAAAAGCAGTGACCAATGAGAGGCGAGCTCATTCGAATATTTCTATTTTCTATTATTCCTTTGAAATATACGAATACGATATTTTGTTGAGTTTCGTTTAAATATCCCTGAAAATGTAAAAGTTACTTCGAGGCTACAGTATAACCCACACCACTCTATAATTACTAAAGAATTCCATTGATAAAAAGCAAATCGATTTACGTTTCAAGTTGATGCACTACACGGAGGCAATCGGATGAAAGGTCGCCACAGAACAATCGATGGAAGTTCGACCCGATGGAAATCTCAATTATTTCTGCAGCATCGAACGAACGCGTGCAACAAATATTTCTCGGCGAAATCGAAGCCAGCTGGAGTAACAGCGAGAGAGGCGCGTGAAAGCTCCGCGCCGCCGGAGTTCTCCAGAAATAAATTCATAAAAATCAGCTGTATTTCGCGGGCATCGGGCACGCTCGATTGAGAAATCTTATGTGTACCAATTTCCCGAACGGTGCTGAGGGATTAATCGGGAAATAATGTGCTCTGCCCACGTCGCAACGAGCGGCGTGCGTGGGTTGTAGCCCCGCGTTGCCTCTAGAACGGTGTACAACTCGATTCATGCATGATGCAGCGGAACGACGTTAGGGGTTTCGCAGTCTTTCGAGCGACTCTGTTATGGAAAAATAGTTTCGAACGAGTTACGTATACGCGCCGATGCACAGTGCACCATTTATATCCAGCGTCCGGGATAAAAATCATAGCTTTGGTTGGCAACTAAGTAATTGCCGATTTCAGTTATAGATGTCTCTCACTCCTATTTTTATGATATCCGTAAATGTTATATTATAAAATTATTATTATTATTATGTTATTTTTTATTATCCGTGAATGTTAGCAACTGGACAAATTGAATGCAGCGGTCAAGGAAAAGCGACCAGAATTGGTCGATCGTAAAGGTGTCATTTTCCAGCAGGACAATGCTAGGCCGCACACGTCTTTGTCCACTCGGCAAAAATTCATGGATATTAGTTGGGTATTGATGTTACACCCACCATATAGCCCTGATCTCGCGCCATCGGATTACCACTTGTTTCGATCCCTGGACAACCCCTTCGTGGTAAAACTTTTAACGACGACGACGCTGTAAAATCTCGCTTAACTCAGTTTTTGGCCGAAAAGGATCAGACTTTCCACGAGCCTGGAATTTTCAAGTTGTCAGAGAGATGGCGAAAGGTCATCGAACAAAATGGAAAATACATTACAGATTAAACTTCGTTCCAAGTAAAAAAAAATTTTTTATTTCATTGAACAAATCGGCAATTACTTAGTCGTCAACCCAATATAATACCGTGAAGTGATCAACGCGAACGAACTTATACAATTTCATCCTGATCTACCCTGTTTTAAAGTGGACACTTCCATCTTTCATTTAAGCTATACAACGTAGAAATATACCTTTACGGAAACGTATCTTAAAAAATCCATCTGAACTTTTCTTTTTGAATCTCGCAAACCCCATGATGTCAACGGTCGATTAATTTTAATTTGTTCGAAATGATCTCGTCATTCAAGTAAAAAAGATTTTTTATTTCATTGAACAAACCGGCAATTACTTAGTTGCCAGCCCAATAGAACGGCGCATCGTCTTCGACGGAGAGATCGGCCAGCGACACGTTGCTCGAAAATTCGAGTGGAAAGCCGGAGCCGGCGACGCTCGATATGAAGCGGCCTGTGTCGGTGCCTGTTCTCTGCCCGTTCTCTGCCTGTCTCTGCCTGCATGCCTCGTGCCTCTCTCATGCTTACATCGTCGTCGTCGTCGACGTCGTCGTCCGTATCCCGCTTTCTCGGCGATTCATTGTCGGTGATACGCCGTCCTCGCGTCCACGAGCCTACAAACGAACACGGAGATCCCTCTTTTTATTGTCGCGACGGCGTGCCGTGACGTCAATTCTCTCTAATCTTGGCGCTCATTTCTGAAAATCATGATAGCGCCGACGGGCCGGCGCGCGCGCGCGACACGGCCCGACGGACGTTTAGAACGATCATCGGTTTCCTGATTACGACCCTCCTCCGTTTTACAAACGATTTCGCCTTGCCTTGGCTCGCCTTGCTCGTTGCTTTTCGGTTCGAAAACATCGACTCGTGGTACGAGCCGAGTGGTCCGAGGCAAACAAATTTTCGACCGTTTCGAGCACGAAACAGGAAACCGCCAATTCGTCCGAATTGTTTCTGCGCGACGCGCAGTCGGCAAGATTCGCTATGGTCGTGTCTATCGCGACATTAGATTGCAATCCTTTCCGAGAAACGCTTATTCGGATGACAACTGTTGCGAATGATCATTTTTATGGGTAATATTATCGTGAAAGAATAACGTCGGAAAGTTCAGCGAGAAAAATTCATTTCCTTGGAAATACCGCGAGCTATTATTTTACTAATTCCGCGGTGTCCGTCGTGAAATCTTGTTCTCTGTAGCGTTTATTTTGTTTCGGATTATGCGTGTTTCGTTTGTATTACTTAAAAGGATCTAGACTTAGTCCAGTTTTGAAAAAATGATTGCATTTTAAAAGGTGTACGAACACTTTCGTGGGCCAAAACCAACCACTGTTGCGGAACACTCTCTCTGTATTTGTAACAAAAGCTTTCTTACCGGACTATATAAACACATAAATAAATAAAATTAGATGATAAATCGTTTAATCGAACGCGAACGCGTAATCGTGCATTCGCTGGCTAGGACTATACCGATGCGATTGTATCACCTTCGTTGCTTGTCTTCTCCCTAGAAGTTCGATGTAATTGTTGCTACGCGTGGTCGGATCAACAGCAAAACCGCAGCAGCGTCCGTGAAGGATAGAAACGGCTTCCAGTAAGTTCGTTACACGACTCCGGTCGCCGGTGAATCGCAGTGTCACGCGAAAACACGGTAATCTCCGATTTGTTACGATGCGTTCTCTTTTCTTCGGCGGGCTCGCGTCGCGGAAAAACCGAGGCCCGATCGAAGAAATCCGAAGCCCGGGGCGCTTGGAAGCCGGGGGAACGTGTACGACGCGTTCATTGATGCTTTTATTATCGATTCGCATGGTTGCCGTATTAACGACCGATATTACGTAACGTGAGCCAAGGTCGAGGTCCGCGACCGTTGTCTCCCGAAGAAACGAAGTTACCGGCGATTCTTCTACCGCGATTACGTTGCCGCTCGCCGGAGATGTTCGAGAGAAAATTAACGTGGATCCCGACGATTGTTTTCCAGGAACGCTCGCGGTCTGGGAGAATTTTCGCTCGCGGCCATAGCTCGCGGACACCTCATCGACGAAACGAAGAATGATGATACGAAAGCGTTGTTTCACGTTTAGGTAAGCGAAGTTATTATCTCGCCATTAAATCGTAGATCGAGCACTGCGGCGGCTGATCTTTGTTTTCCTTTTTTCCAGCAATCTGGGATTTACGCACTCCGGCAGATGCGCAACATTTCGCAGAATAGTCCGAACGATCTCTGCGAACCATCCTCCCGCCGAGTTTTCAGCTGTTCAACCCCCAATCGCACGTGCTTCGACGTGTTCGACTCGAGGCGGAGATTCCTAGTGATCGTCTGTTAACATCTTAGCTGTATTCGAGGATATATTATAATATATAGAAGATATATTATAGATAGATAGAAAATATATATATATATATATATATATATATATATATATATATATATCTTCTATCTATTTTATCTATATCTATATCTATATCTATATATATATTATAGAGAGAGATATTATAGATTATAATATATATTATATATATTAGATATATATTAGATATTATATCTATATCTATATATATATATATATATATATATAGATATAAAAGATATAAAATATATATATATATATATATATAGAGAGAGAGAGAGAGAGAGATAGATATAGATATAATAGATACAGAAGATATATATATTACAATATATAGATTCGTAAAAAGTTTGAAGAAATTGACGTTGTCTCGGTAGTTCTAGTATTATTATGTAGGGTGTATACAGGATGTTCGAAAAATCGTGGTACAACCGGCAAGGGGATGATTCTACATGCAAAAAATAAGTCGAGAAAGAGGAATAACATTTTTTAATTTAAGGCTCCGTTTTCGAGAAAACTGAGTTGAAAGATGCGTCAAATTCGCGTTGCGATACGACGATTCGCTTGCAATATGACGAGAAGTAGAATTGGTATATCATGACCAGACGCTCCGGTTGATTCCTATTCAATAGTATTACTTTTTGAACCTAATTCTTCTCAAAAACGGAGCCTTGAATACAGAAAAAGTTATTCCTCTTTCTCGACTTATTTTTTGCATGTAGAATCATCCTCTTGCCGATTGTACCACGATTTTCCGAACACCCTGTATATTACAATAAAAATGTTTCTCCTACGATTTAGATTAAAATGCTTGTGAAACATGTTCGTAAATATCGCACAGTTGAAAATAATTCTAAAATAGCTTGCCGAAGGAAACTGCACCGAGTGCGATCGATAAAAATGCGTACAAAATTGATCTTAAAAATAGGTCGACGCAGCTAAGTGGTCAAACATGAATCTCGTTCCGTTCTTTCGAGTCGATATACATTCCTTTTTATCGCCGTCAATATTTAACACTACACCAACCGTCACCGATGTAATGGCAGGCTTCGTATTTTTTATTTCGTAATTATTGTAGTCATAAAGCTCTAGAAATTGTTGGATATAACTTTTTACTCAGGCTCATATGAAAATTGTGAAAAATTTTAATAAATGCAATCTTGTAATTCTCAAAAGGCGATACATATCAGTGAATCGTACGTTTAGGCTTAAGCAATTAAATGTAGGCATTCGATGGATTTAAATTCTCTTTTTCTTCGAAAAAATTATTAGAATCGGAAACGTTCTAATCGTCGTAACTGATACGGCAAGGGTTTAACAATAAGAAATTATTAGTAATAAGAATGAATGTAACAATACTGATAAATGAGACTAATTCAGAGTCTAGACAAGTTTTTTCAATTCATTGCCGTACTTTGATGAGTTTAACTCGTGACGGCGAGTTATAGTAATATCCTGTTTATTAACAAAAGCATACCAAAGTCTGAAAGTAACTGGTATGTGTTGCCTTATAAAAATTATGTGATTTCATTTATTTAATCTCTACGCTCTCTCTTTATAATGGTATATATCGGAATAATAAAATATATTCAACAATTAACAATAGTGGAATCAGCTTTATAATTCCAATAACTATGAAATAAAAAATGTGAAAGTATGTTCATAGTACGAATATTATTTCGTTCGAAAGTAAGTCGGGAGAAAAATCTATTCTCTTCTCATCAATATTAATGTAATTATATAAATAAGTAAATAAATACATACATAGATACATAAATAAATAAATAAATAAATAAATAAATAAATAAATGAATAATATATATAAGCAATCGAGCGAATGTAGGCACGCAATAAATATAAATTTCATTTTCCATCTAAGAAATTATTACAGTCAAAAAGATTCTAAATGTTGCAACTGCAAGGAAAATTGTACAGTTTAATCGCGATGGAAAAATTGATATTTGCGTTCACACGTTGAATTTACGAAATTTTTTTAGGCGCCACGGAATCGACGAGGGTTAGGAAGATCGACCGTACAGGAGTTCTCACGGAGGGATGTCCAGGTGGATTACACAAATGCTATTATTTATTATCGTATAAGTATAGACAAAATAGGCATTGCGTGAATAATATAGTATACAGTGCGTGCTACAGAGAGACATACGAACGTGCAGTGTGTGATTCGAATATAGGAACATCGGTGTAATGTATTTATCTTGAATGTCGTTCGATGTTTCTTTTTTTTTCTAAACGAAGAACGCAGCGGAAGCTCGTCGAAAAGTTTACGGATGCGCGGGGCATACGATTGTTCGTCCCGTTGGAAACGGGACCCTCGTGTAATAATGCCGGCTTAAATTGTATCGACGGTTTGTCTTGTCTCTGACGCGACCGTTCTCGGGTTAATAATTTCTTATATGCTTATTTCGCTTTGCGATGCGGCCTGCATTATTTATGAGTTCCATTATACCGAGCTGAGCGTTCTTCGATGTCGATCGAGTAATACGTCAGAAAGGACACGCAACGAGAGAAATGGAAATAGAATAAATAACAGGATGCGGGCTACGGTTCTAATGAAAATCGACTCGGTCAAGGGATCGATCGCGTCTCCGCTAGAGAGGGAAGACTGTCTTTCGATTCCTCGGGCTTCTGACGCGTTACTCGGCTCGGCCGCGAAATGAAGTATGGTTACCGGTGACGTCGTTCGGCAGACCGACGAAAATCGACGCTCGCGGTCGATCGACCGGTTGCCGTTTATAAATTACCTAGCGCCGACAATGAAATAAATAAAGGATGCGAATGACTCGAGGTGGAAAAGATGGAGAGATAAATAGATTGACAGATGGAGAAACAGAGAGAGAGTGAGAGAGAGAGAGAGAGAGAGAGAGAGAGAGATATTCGAAGCGATTGAAATCGATCAACATTCAACAGGACTCGTACGTAATTGACAAGTATTCATCTTCCTTTTACTCGCGGTGTAATGAGATGCGATTCTATTAATTAACGGAGCAACGATTAGGCGTCTTCGTCGCCCCATTCGAAACTCTCCTCTCCGCCGGACACCACTTCTTCGATCTTCGGCGTGTCTTCGACGCTGGTCGCACCTTCGTGCGATTTTCCTTCCGCGCCGTGGGGCTCCTCGACGAACGGAGCGTCCAGTTCAAGATGCTCCTCCTCCACGATATCCTCTTCGATCTAACGAAACAAAATATTTCATTAAGATGCGGATTTGTCCAAAATCAAAATCTGAAGTCTGACAATCTGATTGTTCGCACTGAAAGTTCTACTCTGTGTGCTGCTTATACCCTTTGCAGTCGAGTGGTGATTCCGAGGTATCACAAATTTAATATAAATATATTGTGACGCAGTAACATATTTTATATATATATATATATATATATATATATATATATATATATATATATATATATTATATAATATAACTCGCCAAAAGCAGCCAGCCGGTTAATCTACGGCCGCTACGCCAACCACCCCCAAAATTTCGCAAAACTATTTCATTCAAATTAAAATTGAAAAGTTCAAAGTTCTCGACATCCTTACGTTTCACGGATCCTAGTAAAATTACGACGACACAACAGCGTGCGAATGAACTTTCAAATCCTGAGAAAAATAATTCCGTCGCCCACGTATGCGTGACATGGCAGTCGGAGCGAGTTAAAACGAGTCCAGGTTTAGATCGGTTGCGCGACTCGGTTTACCCGACATCGTAACAGCCGAAATATCGACAACGCGTCGAAAATCGGAAATTTGTTGCAGTTCCTGGAACCGCGGTATTTTTCCGGGACATTTGAAATATAAAATAGCGCGTTTAAATATCGAGATTTCAAGTTGAAAGACGAGACACGCGTCGCGTCGTCGAGCGCGATCGATTTCCGGCGCGGCGCGGCGCGGCGCGGGAGCAACGAGCACAACGGTCGTCGACTGGTCGTCGACTCACCCTTGTTTCGTCGTCGACGATCAGCTCGTAGGGTTTCTCCTCTCTCTCCTGATCGGTGATCTCGCCCTCGAGCTGGTCGTCGCAGGAACAATCGACGTCCTTCACTTCGTCGGCGTCTTCGAACGCGACGTTCGCCAGCCTCTCCTCCTGCTCCTCCTTCAGCCGGACTTCCTCGAGGTGTTCCTCGACGACCATTCTCTCCTGCTCCTCCAATATGGCTGCCACCCGGGCCTCTTCCAGTTGCCTGAACACGAAGGAAATCGATATCTCATCGGCGGACAATCCGCACTCCAAAACACCTGCGGCTTCATAGAAGAGCCCGGGCAAAGCCCTTTTCTCGATAGCGGCCAAGTTTTACCTTTCCGCCTCCAATACTCTCTCGGTTTCCACCCGATCGGCCTCCATTTTGGCCTCCTCGGCTTCCCTCTCGGCCGCCGCGGTCTCCTGCTCGCGGATTTCGTCGAGATGCGCCACTCGTTCCTGCGCCACCTGCACAGCCTCCCACGCCTTCGTCTCCTCCAGCTCGAGCCTCACTCTTTCATCCTCGGCCGCCTGCTTCCTTTCTTCCAGGCTCCTGGGGGTCAACGTTACGCATTGTATCTTCGAGACGAAGATTTGCAACTAGACCCGCAACTTCACTTCTGACGACTCGGGAATTTAGTCTCTCGAGGACGACTGCCGTATATAAGACGCCAGGACGACACAACTTGTTCCAGTTGGTGCAAAATAGGGTTATTGGCTTTGAACGGCTATTCCGTATACAGTGTGGAGGGAAAGTGTCCACACGCCTTTTAAAGCGGTATAACTTCTTTAATATTGGTCCAAATTTTTTGTATAAATATTAGTAGGAATTAGTTCATTATACAATGACTAAAACATTTTTACTCTTTTTTAAATTTTGCTATTACTTGGAGTGAATGAAATTTTCATCATGTATTTGAGTTACAGGGAAGTATGAAATGCATTTTTTCAATTTTCGTTATAGGCTCGGATGCAAACAAGTGAAAAAACGAGAGTCTTTTTTTACAGTTTTCCTATTCCAAGTAATAGCGAAATTGAAAAAAGAAAGTATTTCAGTCATTGTACAGTGAACTGGTCTCTCCAACATTTACGAAAAAATTCAAATCATTTAGATCAGTTTGAAAAAAGTTATACTGTTTTAAAAGTCACTTTTGCTCACCACTGTACACCTGTACAGGTGTATTAACCCGTGTCTTGATTCGTTCAGCATCAAAACAAAATGTTAATGAAATAAAACTGTTTCCTAATAACTCGCAATCGTTTCCTTCGCGGTTCATTTCCTCATCTATTTTTACTTTATTATCTCAGTAGACAGTAACATTAACATTTTGTGTTACATGTTTCCGTAAAATTCAGAAACCATTATTGTTATACTTTCTGAACGAATTAAAACACGGATACGTTCATTACACGTGCACTCGTATGTTATGAAGTACACTGGTTAACGGGATATATTAAGTACACGTGTCCGCCTGTACATTTAGGTACACGTGTAATAGGGGCATCAAGTGCAAACATACTGTTCAGGGACTAAACACATACGATACGTTTGCATACATTTTGGGGATACGAGCAGAATACGTTGTTCATTTTCCTATTACAGTAGGACTTCCGTTACCGAACTAATTAGGCAAATACAAGCGTTTTAGGCCTAAGGGGCTGTCTTTTCTTTTTCTTCGTTAAGGGATGGCATTCAGGTAAAAATGAAAGGGTTAAATTTCGAAAGTATGCATTTTGACAGCGTTTCGTGTGCTGATTCGAATTATGTGCAAATTATTTTGCCGACTGATTTTGTTGATAATGAAATAATTCTTTTTTAGGAGAAAATTATTGGATTGGAAAATCTATATATAGTTCTCTTCAGCGTCATGTGCACAACCTGTATTAAAAAATTCAGCTCGAAAAACATTATTATTGTTCAAGTCTATGTGTCAAATTTTTATTCGAACGTCTGATTAGAGATAGAGACCAACGAATAAAATTTTATTCGACGATATCGAATGAATATCCAATCGAATACAAATTTATCCAGATGAATTCTTTTTAGTCGAATATTTTGTTCGAATAACGATTACTCAATATTCGTCATAAATTATTTATATCTATTTATTCGAATAGTTCTTTAAACGAATAAATTATTCGAGTGATTCTCTATTACAAGAAATTATTCGAATAATTCTCTATTACAAGAAATTATTCCAATAATTCTTTTTTACAGAAAATTATTCGAATAATTCTTTATTACAGGAAATCATTCGAATAATGATATGTAATAATAATAATAATAATAATAATAATAATAGTAATAGTAATAACAATAATAATATTAATATGAGTAACATTAACAATTGTAATTGCGATAGGAGGAGTAATACTAATAAATAATTAAAGGAGGAGTAATACTAATAAATAATTATTACAACAATTACAATAATTATAATAATAATAATAATAATAATAATAGTAATAACAATAATAGTGTTAACAATAAGATCAAGAATGACGGATGGTTGCGAACAATAGCGACGGCAGAATGTTTAAATGAAGCGAAAGAATTACAAAAGAAATTGAGTCAGTGGCAATAACGATTGGCATTCATGAGTAAGCGGTTTAAACAGTTATAATCGTGTGCGAGGTGCTTCTACGAGAAAAAGACGAGAATATCTAAGATTACAGGCCGGTGTATAAAAGTCGTGTTTTTCGAGAGCTTGAGAGACAGGAGATAGTGTGATTAATTAGTTTGTATACAAACTAATCTTCTAGTTAATTAAACATGTTGGTGTTCGTTGATCTTCGCATGGGAACGTGATTTATTGCGCTTGTATTTTTACAATGTCTATTGAAAAATTGCTATAATAATTATAGAAAGGAGGAAATACCGGGTGATTAAGCGGAGTTTCACTTTTCTTAAATATCAACGAAACAACTTGATCTTTTTGGGCAAGCTGGATGATTTAGATCAGTAGATAATGACCGAAACGATTTCTTTTTTGAAAAACCTACAATCGATCGGGGTCTAGATGAAAGTTTGAAAATTATTTCGCGACTTCGGAAATGAGCGAGCACGATGCATCAATGCAGCGAAAGATGCAGCTAGAGGCTATCGAGAAGAATCTCTCGACAAAAAGGCCGGCTGACTGTTTTGGTTCTACTTAAGTAGAAANTACAGAAAATTATTCGAATAATTCTTTATTACAGGAAATCATTCGAATAATGATATGTAATAATAATAATAATAATAATAATAATAATAGTAATAGTAATAACAATACTAACAACAAGATCGTGAATTAAGGATGTTTGCAAACAATGCGAGATTAAGCCTTTACTGATTTGCCTACAATGAATAGTGTTGTACGTGATCTGCCTTGGAGCGAACCATTTACATGACAAGAGCGGATTCTACTGCATTCTACTGTTATATTCCGCTACGTTCAACTCTTCGACGCCTAACCCGGCTCGCCTACGAAGATCTTTCGAACATTTTCAAAAATCGGCGTCCTCGAGAGCTTAATTCAATCCCTTCCAACAATTCACTTACTTGGACTGCTCGGCAGCCGTGACAAGGTACTGCTCTATCTTCTTGATAGTGTCCTCCTTCTCTTGTTTCACTGGAATAGAGAAAACCTCGTGAACCCGGTCGACCCTTATTACCCGAAGAAACCGATCGGCGTATTGAGTCGTCTATATCGGGTGAATCGCGTGATCCTGTTGTGCACCTTCTAAACGTACAGGGGGATCAAGACTTTACGACTGTTTGCGTGCGTCGACGCTTTTGATAGCGCTTGTAGATGGGACGTTACACGTGACGGGGACGTTTCATGCGACATCGAACAAGAGACAGGCTTCGCAAGACAGGGATTTTACGAGCGACACGATAACGATAAATCTTACGAGGAGTATACTCGCCCGCTCTGACGCAATCTATAATAGTTTCGAGGCTCGTTTAGTGTCTATCGTCGGCTAACATACCGTTCTTCTCCTCCGACTGCTTTTCGGCTGCTGCTTCCGTTTCACTTACGGCCTCAGCGACCTCAGCCTCTGAACCAGCTTCCGGCTCCGACTTTTCGGCCGGCTTTTCTTCGGCTGCTGGCTCCGGAGCTGCTGCTTCTTCAGCTGGAGCCGGCTCCGGAGCTGCTTCTGCAACCGGAGTTGCTTCTGCAACCGGAGCTGCTTCTACAACTGGAGCCGGCTCTGGAGCTGCTTCTGCAGCTGGTTCAGGAGCTGCTTCTGCAGCTGGTTCGGGAACTGCTTCTACAACTGGTTCCGGAGCTGGTGCTGCAACTGGTTCCGGAGCTGATTCTTTAACTGGCTCCGCAGCTGGCTCCGGAGCCGGAGCAGGAGCCGCAGCTGCTCTCTTAGCTCTCGCCTTCGTAGGCTTCGCCGGTTGTTTAGCAGGTGTTGGAGCCGGTTCAGGCTCTTTGACGGGTTCAGGCGTCGGTTCTGGTTCAGCTTGTTTCGCAGGTTCCGGTGCTGGTTCAGGTTCTTTCGCAGGCTCCGGTGCTGGTTCCGCAGCCTTGACAGGCTCCGGTTCAGGCTCGGCTGCTTTGACGACCTCGGGTTCTTTCGGCGGTTCCGGCTCCTTCTTCGCTGCTTCCGGTTTCGCTCGCCTGGATTCCCGCTTCTTTTCCGGCTTCGATTCCTGCTCGATTTCTATTATACGCACTACAAGACACGGTACAGAGGTTCACGTGAAGTCATGCTGTTCATGCGGTCGACGGAGGTTCGGGTCGATGCACGCCTGTCGATGGTTTATCGAATGGAAAATCAATCGTCCACGGTTACGACAAGGTGATACGGAAGAGAATGTTGACAGTATTCGATGGTTTATGACTTGAAAGTAACATTGTTTTCATGGGATGCTTGAATAGGTGTACTTCGACTTGGGTTTGATGTGGATCAGGAGTAAGTCACATTTTTTTTACTTGCGAAGGAACAGGGATTTTTATTGTTTTATGAAATGTCTATTGTTTATTGGTCAGATTCGTGGTTAAGATAATTTAGAGTTAAGGTTATATTTATAGTTTTTCTTATAATTTTCGAAAATACGTTGATTATCTAATACACATAGATTGCATTTTACGACATAATTAAAATTGCCGAAAATATATGTATTAGATTATCTAATATAGATTACATTTTAAGATACAAGTCAAAATTGTCGAATATATGACTTACGATTCGAATAATTTTTTATTAGGATAAATTAATCAAATAATTCTTTATTAGAAGAAATTATTAGAATAATTATTTATTAGGAGAAATCCGAATAATTTTTTATTAGAATGAATTAATCAAATAATTCTTTTTTAGAAGAAATTATTCGAATAACTCTTCATTAGAAGAAATTATGCGAATAATTCTCTCTGTTAGAATAAATTATTCAAATAATTCTTTATTAGAAGAAGTTAATAAAATAATTCTTCATTGAAAGAAATTGTTCGAATAGAGACTGTAACATTATTCAAACAATTCTTTATTAAAAGAAATTATTCAACCAAAGATCGTAAAATTATTCCGATAATTGTTCGAATAAAAATCTAATTCGGATAAATTCGATAACGTCGGCTACAATTTTATTCGTTTCTCCGTCTCTTATTCAGTCATCCGAATAAAATTTGTCTGTCGAAGGGTTAAATAATCAACACGGAGGAATGATTCCGTAGCGAAGGATTCGCGAGCCTGTTTTCCGAAACGATTCGAAGGTTTGCGTTTTCGAAAGGCGGCAAACGGGTCCGACTGGAATTCCACTTGATTTCGCGCGTACGCGCGATCGATTAGGCGTGTAACGACCCGTGGAGCATCGCCAGATAAGAGGGCCACGTACCTTTCTTGAGCGCTGCCTCGTCCAAATCAGGCTGTAGTGCTCGCACTAGAATTGGTGTGATTACGTGAGAAATGCGTAACGAGAATAAACAATGTATCGTACGGGGTCGCACACAGCGAGTGTCTTTTTTGTGTATATAAACTACTGACCCTTTCGCAGCTCTCTCTCCGTCATCGGCAGGTCCGGCGCTATGGGATACATGAAACATAAACGTTCGGTTAACGGCGAAGGGATCGACGCCCGAACGGGATCGTGTTACGCGCGCATGATGGAGCCAACGATTATGAAATTAGTCGGTGATTCGCTGTGGATAGCGTGTATTGTGACGTGGCACGGTTGTTAGGGCCCGTTAACAATGTTAACACACCAACGACGATAGAAGCGTGATGAGTTAGAGTATTAGAGAACGTCGAGGTCCGATTGGTATCGACGATGAAAAAGTACACAATCTCCTGTTTCCTGGATCATGACGCAGTACGATCGTGGAAACGATGGGATCGACGACGAACCAGATCTCCGTTGTTCCCGTCTCGATCACTTCGCGGCGATTATGTTCGATCCGACAGAACACGTGCACGGCGTCGTCTCGTCGTCGTCGTCCTCTTCTCCGTGAACGATCGCCGTTTAACATTAATTGCGAACCGTGTCGTTTCTGTTTTAGTAACCGGGAATCACTCAACGTCGCTTTAGAGACATGAAACAACAAGTCGGCCGACCTGGTTGCTGGTACACTCGCGCATTCGAAAAGTCCCCGAACTGGCCCGATGTTCCATCGAAACGATTCACCTGATCGACATTTGACAAGCGAATTGCGGATCTCGTGGATTCGAGTAGCTGTAACGAGTAGCTGTAATTTTAGAGAGGAGAAATCATCCTGGATCTACGATATTTATTGACCCCTTGTCAACCCCTTGACCCCTTGCTCTTTCTAAATTGTCCATTAACAATTAGGGAGAATTATATTATAACAATATTAATTATTATAACAATTGGGAAGAATTTACTGTATCCTCTGTTTCTGCCAAGAAATTGTTACGATCGAAAAACGACAAGGACTCCTGTTTGTTGCAACAGATGCGAACAAATTTCATTTCGCATAACGAACCGCAGTCTACCGAGATCAGTCAGATGTCCGCAGGTTCTTCTTCCGGATTGCTCGCGCGAAAGCGGTTAGATCCGTTTCAAGGCCGGGCGAAGCGAGCCCGAGATTCGATCTGGCGTTGGTCCGGGAGCTTTTCGATGGCACTCTGTATGATGGAGCACGAATAGAAGCTTACCTCGCAACAACGCAATCGTTTGCTTAGCCGGTTTCGGTTTAAATCCGCCGATTATCGTGCAAAGGAAAGTAAACTGACGGAATAGACGGCAAATTAAAGAATCAAAGGTACGTCTATATTTTATTCGGATATGTTTCTCGCATGCTCGAACAGGTTCAACGACAATCAAACTTTCTGTGGCCGCGTGATCGCGGACACTTGGCAAATCCCGTTTCGGATTTTCGGCCGGGCGAGAACTGTTACGAACGATTTTGAATGGGTCTCGGCGGGTTCTTCGTGGACAATGCACAGGCACCGCGCGTACGATTTGCACAAGATTTCTGCATCCTCGATTGCGGTCCGCGGCAACACGCCGCAACTCGGACGCAACGTTCCCGGATATAGACCTCGTTAGGGCGCGGTGGACGTTGGAGTGTTCGTCGAGTATTCGAGATTAACGATTTTAATTATAACGGAACGACGCGCGACGACGCGGCGGTCACTCCTCGGCGAGCTCCTCGATCCCCTCGTCCTCCTTTTTCGGTTTCGTCGGATCCTCGTACAGCTCTGGAACACGATCCCTCCACCCTTTGCCTGAAACGTTCAAAAAGAGCCGAACTGGTGGTTCTGCGATTTTTAGCTGCGTGTGCGTGTCCCGGTCGTCCGGTTCTGCCCGACACTGGAGTCTGCCATTGTGTAAAATCTTGCCCTCGTTTCCGTATCCGTTTCCGTATCCGTTTCCGTATCCGTATCGTCGAGATCTCGCGCCCGGTAAACGCAATTAGAAAAGAAAAAATTCATGCGCAAATATAAACACGGAACGAACAATAGTAAAAACCGCCGCTGTACGTCTTCTTAAAAGTAGTCACAACGTGTAAAAGGGGGAGAACAGTGCTACGAGCAACTACCAACAAAATACCAAAGGAAAGACCAAAAGAAAAGACACTGTGTCGTTGTTGTTGTTGTTGTTGTTGTTGTTGTTGTAACGTACGGAGGAACAAAAAACACGAAAATTATAGGAGGCCAGCACAGCACAACCAAAAAATTGTCAGACAGTTGCGAAACAGTGGCATTCATTCAAAAAGAGGGGGGGTGGCGGCTAGGATAAAAATATAGATAACGAGCGGGGGAGAGAGAGAAAAAAAACGAAAAAGAAAGGTGCACACAACGGCGTCATATGGCCGCTTTTATTTTTCCAAAAAATCTTCGTTTCGAGAAATATATGTACTATCATAGTGTATGTTTCGCAGGTAACTCGCGGGGAAGGTCAACGACGAATAATTCGCTGTTCGCTTCGATACCCTCGCTGTTCGCGGGAACCTCGATTACACGAACCACCGATAATCGCATAATTTTTAAATCAACGTTGTTTATATTTCAAAAGACTGTTGAAAGTGTTGCATGTGCCATAAGACACAATTTCATGTGCATATAATGCGCTGATAAAGAGTTAAAATGTCTCCGAGTGTGAAGGATTAATATTATTAAATTTAATTTAATATTATTAAATGATGCTTGATTTAATAATATTGATAATATAATATATATATATATATATATATATATATATATATATATATATATAAATCAAATTAATTGAATATTAATAATTAAATATTGATAATATAATATTGATAATATAATTATCACAATATTTAATTATTAATATTCAATTAATTTGAGTTTTTGTATTATTTCAAGTTAAAGCTTGAAAGCGACTCACGCAGAAGAGTGGTAACAATGTTTCACGTTACTGCACATTTCACAGAACTTTTAATTCATTCTTCATTATCCACAAATTAACTTTCTTTCCGCTCCACCGTTTCTGCTTCAAATTTCGGCTCATTTAATGCAGCACCGTAACCAAGCGATCAAATCCATTGTCCGAATTCTGGTGAAAAAATAATAGTAAAATAATATCGTGGCAATTAGTTTGGATAACCGAGATTCCACGGTGCAAGATGAAAAATTGAATAACGGAGCGCGCGAACGACCTCTACCGCGACGATTATTCGTAATTACACCCTCCTCGCGATCGTTCGTTTCTACCCTGTGCCTCTGACTACGTGTTTCTTGTACGGATTCGGTCGATACAACGTTAATTCGAAAGAAGAACGTGTGTGTCGTTCGTTCGTGGCGTCGCGTCGTCTTCGTTCACTCATCGACTCGGTCGACAGAAGAGAGAGAGAGAGAGAAACATTTGTAGGTGTGCATGTGCGTGTGTTCATAGGTGTCGAGTAAATCCGTGCTGTCCAAGCCAGAGTGCAACCACGAAATTGGTAAATGAGAGAGCTCGACAAGAAAAAGAGAAAGAGAGAGAGAGACAGAGAGAAAAAAGAGAGAAAAGAGAGAGAGAGAGATCATGCTTGGCTAGTTCCGTCGAGACCATGGCGGAGGTAGAAGCCCAAAATTGCAAAACGTTCGAAGCTTGGTTTGTTAGACAGCACGGTAGTAAAACACTGTGATTGGTCCGTGTGTATATATGTTTGCGTGGATGTGTGTGTGTGAAAGAGAGTCCGTCCATGTGCCAATCGTCGTTGTTACCGTCGTTGTTAGGCTACTCACAGGCGTTGGCAGCCGCCTGCCGATTCTTTTTGTAGTAGCTCAGAAAATTAACGTCGTTCTTGATATCGGAGGGGCGCAGATCGGCGACCTTGAAGTACGGCCTCCTGACGGACTGTGGATTACCGGCGACGTACTTGACGCACGCCAGCGTCCCGAAGTCGCCTCTTTCCGGCACCTCGTACCACGAAATCGGGTCTTTCTTCGCGATGGACTTGCCCGACAGCAGCCGACGCACGTAATCCCCGCTGCGCATACGCTCCGGCACAATCTCTTCCAAGAAGTCGCTAGAAATTCAAAGCTCCGCGTTACGTTCCTCGACGGGTACGGCTTTTTCTTGACCGGCGGCCTCGGACGATTCGCGAGATCACTCTTGAACAGGTCCCGATACTGTTGCGGGGAACCAAAATGATTGAATATCAACTAGGAATAAGGATCTAGCGTTCGTTTCGAGATACGGTAATGTCTCCCTAACTGACGCTCGGATTGTCCACGAAAATGGACAATTTGGGAAGAGGGGATACGATTATTCGAGCCTTGCATGACCTTCACATAACCTTGACAATTCGTAACTGTAAAAACGAACTGCGAGGCTCAAATAATCGTATTTCCTCTTCCCACATTGTCCATTTTTCTGGACAATCCGAGCGTCAATTAGAGAGACATTACTGTAAATCGGTTTGTTGCCGATTCTAGTGCTTTGGAGTAGAAGAGCTAATTATGTACTATGTCCTGTTTTAGCGGTCTTCAGAACACAGCTTTAGCAATTTAAATGACAGTTCTTAACACTAAAACTACCAACCCAGTCAAAATGACTGGTTCCTGATTTTTTATAAAATGTTTGTGCGAAAATTTTTTGGATAAACTTGTTTGATCAACCATATGTTATAATTGAAACCGTACGAAGTTGAAATAAATCCAATCTTGTCATTGTTTTAAATTAATATATATATTAGTTGTATTTAGAGCTCGGTAGTTAAAGCTTTTTTCATCGATATAATAAATTTTCTCATGTCATAAGTATCGAATCCCTTTTGATTATTAGGAGAAAAGAAAAAGAAAGTTCTGCAGCCAGTTACTGTGTGCCCGTGATCTAAAAAAATCATTTACTGTGCTCTCTCCCTGAATACTGAGCCTCAATAACTGTGCACAATAAAAATTTAATACTTAACGTACTCTCATATTTTATATTCTATAAATCAAAATATATTAAAGTATAATAAAGTATAATATAGTAAAGTAAGTCATTTATAAATTTACATTAGAGGCGACTGCTTCAACAAAATCTCCAATTTACATTTCTCCCCTTTAAAAATATGACACAGATAATTTGAGATTTGAGGTTATGTAGGCCTGTCCCGTGATAAGCGGCACAGTAACTAACGCGTCGAGTGAGAAATAGATAGGTGCATAGTAAATAAACTACTGAAATTGAAACTAAGGAATTAATTCTGTGCTCCTTTGCGAGCAAAAAAATCGTAGCGACTTAATTCGGTGCTCAAATTAAAGCGGAAGATCCGTACTTCACGATGCTGTGAACGATAATACTGGAAAAAATTATTCGCGGTTACATAGATAGCGTTAAACTTCGCACATTTTCGGTATTAACTAAATTCTTAGCAAGAAATTGCTAACTGCACACTTATCCCCAGTTGGTATTCAATCGCAACAGAGATTCTAGGCCGAACCGAATTCGGTGGAAAGTCTGCCAGCGTTCCCGTGACCGATGAATTATTCGAATCGTACGCGGCCAAAAGCCGGGAGGAATGTTTTGTGCGGCAAGCATCGTAATCGTTGGTAAAGGGCGATAATACCTTGCTACGGCTCGTGGGACGAACACGTGTACCCGTCGCAGAAGGGAATCCACTTTCGCGCGTATTTCCCTCGCCTCGTCGTCGAAGTACTGCGAAGAAACACACGTGAAATATGTATGCGTTCACCGAACGTGATTCGCGGTTTGTCGCGCACACAGAGACCGATTAGTATTTGATTATTCGATTAGTTCCGTTTACTGAGACCCGATTCGTGAGAATTGGTGAGACGCGGTCGATGCGCGTGCGAGGGGACTGGCTCTTCCAAGTTCGAGCGTGTCCGAATCGACTGCGTTAATCTGTCGGCGTACGATTCTGATTAGGTTCGAAACCGACGACGCGATCCCGCCGACGAACGATGATGGTCGGTCGATGATGACGGTGATGATGACGATGATCGTGACGATGGGCGGTGATGGTGTCGGATGACCATGAATGGTGCTTTGCGGTCGGTCACGTGGACGACGACGACTCGACTAGTCGAGCGCAACAACGGCCACAATAGTTAGAAGGCTGTTTTTCGCTTTCGCGAAATCGTCGATGGAAAACTTACGATGCGATCCCTGGACTGAAGATACTTTTCCGTGTAGGACTCGGTCGAGGGCCTCCAGAGGTTCCGTATCCTGTTGAGCTCGGCCGCGAGGACGCTGGGTCGCACGCGCGCATGAACTCTTATCGGTATCAGGCTGCCGATGCCGCCGTGGTACACGGTATGGTAGGGCATGTGGATTACGGTCACAAGCCTTTTGTGTGCCACGTATGGCATGCGAGGAATGCTTCTCAACTAGAGGCACGATACTCTGCTTTACTAAACTCGTCGATCATCGACTACTACTATCGGTCGTTACGTTCCCAGCTGCGTCAGCGGCATTTAGCGTGAAAACAAGCGTGCGCTCCTCCGCTCCTCGGCACGAAGCCGATCCTGCCTCATGCTCTTTCCTCGCGGTGGAGCCGTTTTAGCGGGGCCAAGCGGGTGCCGATGCGATTGGTCGTCCGTTAGGGATCGGCGAAAGCGTGAAAGCGTTCGAACGGTGTTACGGTTAGAGAGGATGGATGAAGCGGCGGTCGATGAGCATGAACGACGATTGCGATTCGGCGCGAATTAGTCGGGAAAAGCGATTCTTTGGAATTGATCGAAGCATCGGTATCGTCGGGGCCCGTGAAACGCTAGTACGAAGCTGCGTACGAAGTTTGCGTCAAGGTAGAAACACATTGACAACGGCGACTGCCAAGTCGACACCCAAAAGGACACCCTTAACTTTTTCGTATGTATTTCCGTAATTTCTTAATCTACGCTGACCTGGTATATTGGTCATACCTTGTATCTTTTTCGTCTTTTTATGTACTAATTCGTATAAGGAAATTAAGTAAATAAATAAAAGCCATCGACGGAAACGTAATTCATTCAATAAAAGCCACCTGGAAGTATATTCCAGGAAAACCGAGTGCACGGTATGAGAGAACGTGGTAAATAACAAATTTTACACTTCGAGAGTATTGAAATTGTCTGTGCGTAATACACAGTTTATGCATCGTTTGTTGAATAATAATATATAGATTGTATTGTCGTAGACAAAATAAGTAGGCACTTTTTAACCCTTTGCGGATGAAAATTTTTTTAAAGTATTCTGAATATTTTTCTGAGGAAACTAGGTTATGTATGAAAGCTTTATAATAATGGGTATTGATTCTTTATTACGTCTTGTACATAATAAAGCAGATACTATACATAATAATAAAATATACATAATATACATAAACTCTATAAATCGTATCTTTATCAAAGTTAATCATTTTCAAGATTTGTTTGATTTTTCTATTCCATTTGCACGTTCTAGACACGTCCTTATTATATATTTTACGTTATTATAAAGTCTCTCATATTTAAGCCATATTTAAGTCAAACCCTATGTTTGCAACTAGTGGAATGAGATATGCGGTCCTGACGTCATCGCTAGATTGCGGATTTCCATGCAAAATAAAAATTGTCTGTATCAGTTGCAAGAAATAGAAACTGTATACATATCAAGTTCATTATTTCTTTAATTATTTCAATGGATTAAAAATAATACATGATATATGTTAAAAATTATACAATGATATATTAAAATTCTTTTAATCTTTTTGGTATTTGAAATTACAGAGCTATACATAATTTTGTCATAAATGCATGACATTTTAATGGATTAAAACTAATACATGATACATGTTAAAAATTAAACAATGATATTTTCAAATTCTTTCAGTTCCTCTGGTATTTTAAATTACAATTATACACAATTTTGTCACAAATGCATAAAATCCACAATCTAATTATCGCTATGTCGACGTTCTTCCACAAAGAATTAAAACCCCATAACTATTCGATCGAAATTTGTTGAAATGTTATAACAGCTAATTTCCGAAACAATATCTCAAAAGATCTGTACAAAAATTCCGACTCTCCTCCTGTTTGCCACAAACTCTGATGACATTTATAGTGTACGAATTTCAGTTTTACAACAAAAATTTGGCGCCGAACCTGGTCAAAGAACAGTGTCACCCGACGTGGCAGTCGACGTGTTAACACACCGGTCACGTACAATCGCATGCTAACGTAAAAACCATTATTGTGTTTCTACCTTGTGAAGCGGACGATCGAAATCGAAGACCTTGCACTCGATAGGCGGCGGTGTAGCGTTGTAGCATTTGGCGATTTAAAGCGACAGCGAGCAGTTTGCGGACGGTCTTGTTTGAGTAGCAGAAGTGTAGTGGGTGTTTCGGTACTTACCTGGAGGATAGTGGAGAGCGGAAGGGTGATCGGTCGTTCCTGCGGTCCCGTTTCGGTCGTGTTTACAGAGGGGCGATATTTTTGCGGGTTTAATCGATATTCGACGATATTCGACGATATTGGGCGTAATCCGGCGGCGGCAGGGGACGAGGAGTCACGTGGGAAGCAGAATAAATAGAAAGAAGAAGAACAACACCTGGTTAGTGAGTATTGCAGATACAGAGACCGATCAGTCAGTATTTCTTACATTTTCCTCTTTATTCTCTTTCGGCGGCATTATAGGTCACTTTTGCGTCGATCGTCTCGATCGGACCGGTGTGTGCCGAATATGTATGCACATATACATGCATACATATATATATACTCGTTGTTTCTTGATACAATACGGTATACGCGTGGTATATGTGTGAATAGATATATATTTCTATATATAGACATGTGTGTGTCTGTCCGTGTATGTGGGCGCGTGTGTGTTTGGACGTATGCACGTATACATGACTGTTTTACAATTCGTAGAACGATAGAGCGAAACGATTCGAGTCGTTTTTCACGCGAGCAAGCAACTTGGCCAATTGTCGCGTTGTGTGTCTAACGAGATGACGAACAACGGGGGTTAGTCACGGTTAGGTTTTTCAGTGCTTCTGGATCGGTTCCCTAGGATCGGTCCGCGATCGGTAACGCCGGCGCCGCAAGCGAGCGTTCGCGTGTTCTCACGGTGCGTCCGCAGGCTTTCTTCCACCTTTCCCTCTGACGACGGCGTGCCGTCGGCTGAGAATCCCTTTGGTCTTTGCTGTTCGATCGCACGGCTTGACCGTCGACCGCTCGCTCTTCTAATTCACACTTGCGACAGGCTGGACCACGAATCTTTACATAATCTCCCTATCGTACGCGCGTGTTACGCGCACGGGATCGCTCCGCGAAAGTCCCCGAAGGAGGAACGAACACGCGGCTGTCCGACTCGTGTCGTGCCACCCGTTACATAAAGATCCGCGGTCCAACGATAGCACTCTGCACGCTGAACAAATAACTCGAGCGCGCGTACAGAACGATCGATCCGTTATGCGTAAAAAGCAGAAAACAATCCCACGCATACAATCCATAATCGGACATAGATCAAATGATAAAACACGTACTACGCTTGGATGCATCCGAACGGAAAAGTTAAACTTGTCAAAAGAGAAGAGAAACGCGCGGGAAGACGCGTTCGGAGGAAACTGTTTGTTATGGTTCCTATGGTATCGAATATCAGGGGTGGAGGGTAGGGGCGACTATCGTGCCGCTTTTAAGCGTTAAACGTACATACTCAGCAATCTTGGACGGCACCTAATTTATTAGCTTGAAAAGGCTGGCTTGAAAACGTCTACATACATCTATGGGGTACATCTTCGGTTACAGTGCGTGTCAGAGATATAACAGTACAGAGAGAGACAATTCGTATGACAAACGAGAAAAAACCTGAGCCCCGATCCTGTCTGCCGACGATTTCCGATGGAACAGAACCACTCGGGATTTTTGCATAATTCGCGGATAGACCGCGGATGATTTTTATGCGATATACAAATTGCCCGCGTTTATTGCAAGCTACGGGAACCGTACGGGCATTTATTGGGTTGGCAACTAAGTAATTGCCGATTTCAGTTAGAGATGTCCCTCACTCCCATTTTTATGATATCCGTAAATGTTGTATTATAAAATTATTATTATTATTGTTATGTTATTTTTTATTATCCGCGAATGTTAGCAACTGGACAAATTGAATGCAGCGGTCAAGGAAAAGCGACCAGAATTGGTCGATCGTAAAGGTGTCATTTTCCAGCAGACAATGCTAGACACGTCTTTGTCCACTCGGCAAATATTCATGGATATTGGTTGGGAATTCATGTTACATCCACCATACAGCCCTGATCTCGCGCCATCGGATTACCACTTGTTTCGATCCCTGGACAACTCCCTTCGTGGTAAAACTTTTAACGACGACGACGCTGTAAAATCTCGCTTAACTCAGTTTTTGGTCGAAAAGGATCAGACTTTCTACGAGCGTGGAATTTTTAAGTTGTCGGAGAGGTGGCAAAAGATCATCGAACAAAATGGAAAATACATTACAGATTAAACTTCGTTCCAAGTAAAAAAGAATTTTTTATTTCATTGAACAAATCGGCGATTACTTAGTTGCCAACCCAATATTTCCTCTTCTTTCGACAATTTTGACGAGTCGAAAGGAACGCGATAGCATTCTTAAGCTCTCTGTACGCGTTTCCCGTTTCGTATTCGATTGACTTGCTTTCGTCGGAAATGCATAAAATCCGCAGCCTATTCGTGGAGAACGTAGGGAGGAATCCTATTGCGGAGGAATGTTAAGAGCATATGCAACTTTCCGAATCTTCGAATTAGAACGCGGCGAAACGGCTGGTCCAATTATAACAGCCAATTAATCGAGCGTCGGCAGGTAGGAAAGGGGCGTGTACGTTTCGCCGACGTGGACGACCTCCAAGGATTTCGAAAACGATTCGAGTTCGCGTCAGATTTTAGTGCTCGACCCGTGCGAGACATACGGCTTAGTCTCGGTTATCCGAATCTCAGATTACGTACTCTCCAAACACTTTTTCAACGAGCTAATTATTCTTTGGAACAAAGAAGATTGAAATCCGTACACAGACAACTGTGTTATCGTTAGAACTCTCGTGTTTTCTCTCGCATCGTTTCGGACAACCGAGGTTCAGCTGCGTTTCGATTGGGGTCTGTCGATTAGGGATTGCAAAATTTACCGACTATTTACGATTACCGGTATTTCGGTATTTTCAGGCAACACCGGTTTTACCGGTTTTTTAAATGTATTTAGCATTTCCAAAAAGCTATCAATATTAAGAGCAAAATATCGCAAGTATTAACAACGAAACGTAAATGAAACGTATCAATTTTGAGGTCAGCTTTTCACGGGAAGAACGGTCGAAAAAACGGTTTTCGTAATTTTCAAATCGAGAATATCTGAAAAAATTCACGAACGATCGTTATGACAATACATCGATACCGTGAAAGTATAAATATCGTCGCTCTAGTGCTTCCACATGAAATCTGCAATTTTACGATTTTTCCGAGCTTTTTGATTCTTCACAAGCATGATTCTGAATTTAAAAATCTGAAACGAATCGGAGAACGCGTGTTCGGCTCCTCGACGTGTCACAGATTTCTCTCAGAATTTCTAAACCCGATTAACTGCGGAAAACAGATTAAAAATTAATTTTTCGACTTTACCTCGCAACGAACAACCCTTCCGATCGAGATCTCGCGGTGAAAAGTTACGCAGCATGCTTCTTTTTCTTCTCGATGCTGCATCGAACGGTGCATTGGCCGTACAATTCGGCTCGAGGCCACCGTTTCCAAGAATGTACTACCGTTTACCGGTCTCACCGGTATCGCAATCCCTAAGTGTCGACAGACGTAAAGCGAGGGGTTTCGGTCGACGAGTATCAAGAAGAATCGAGAAGTTGTTGAGGAGAGAGGAGGTCCGTTGCATCGACGATCGGCGAAACGAAAGCGTCGGGGGTTGACGGGTCGGGGTGCGGGCTTTTTAGACGCGGTAGGAGTAATGGCGGTAAGAGGTGCCGCCTGGCAAACGGCCGGAAGTATGGGACTCGTAAGAGGAGTGATAGCCTCCAGGACCGCCGCCGGTCGATGTCCTAGACGACCTCTCGGTCGAGTACGATCCGTACGGTCCGCTCTCCCTCTTGACGACGCTTTCTTGGCTGTAGCTAGTCCTCTGCGGACGCCGACTGTACGGATCCGTGGAAGAGGAGGCGTTCGACGAGCTGGTGTTGGTGTAGGCGTAGCTGTACTGCTCTTGGGCAGTCCTCAGCCCGGCTTCCGGATAGTCACGGACCACGTAATGCCGAGGTGTCTATAGATTCGGGTTACACAAGGTCAACAATTTGGAGATCAGGTCTTCGACGGAGAACAGAACCCCCGTTCCTTTTTTTCCCCCCGATTGACCGCTCGCGGCTCTTCGCGGCTCTTTTACCGGCAACGATCGGTCCCACGCAGCGTTCGCAGCAAAATAAATTGCGCAAAGAGCGAGGTCGGCGACGCATGCGCCGGGAATCCCGGCGTGGCGAGTCTACCGGGTGAACATTATAATTTTGAACTACGATCGCGACGCGACGCAAGGTCTCCGTCCGATCGTGGTTTAGAATTATATCCAGACCGCGGATCATTATGCAAAATGAAAGTTATCTAAGTGAATTGTAAGAAATATAAATTAGATGAGAATATCTTTTCTCTTTTGGCAATCGTAATAAGCTAAAGATAATGTAACGATATCCTTGAATCCATCGAATGTCTTCTTAATTTTGTATTCGATTTATTCATTTTTTTTTAATAAACGCATCAAATCCGCGGTTTAATTATAACGTTCGCGCCACGCCGCTGCGCGGGGGCTCGCGCGCATGCGTCGTCTGCCTCTACTCCTTGAGTAACTTATTTTCCTGAACACAATGCGCGCGCTTCGTGGCCTTTTACCGACAACGGTGTCGGTCCCACGAAACGAAACGCGAACGTTCTACCCTCGAATCGGTCTTCGTCGATTCTGTTCTCCGTGACGGAGCAACGTGTGCTGGAGAAGAGGACAGCGTGTGTCACGGAACAATGGATCCGGGTGGAACGATACACGCGAATCGGGGAACGCTGCTTCGACGGATCGGCCCCGGTTTCGGTCGCTTCGCGATGTGAATAGAGTAACAGGTGAAGAATCAGAGGTTATGTCGCGTGTAAGCGGTGGTCTTTTGGAATTATTCTCACAACGTTTCGCAAGCAATATTCGTGTGTTTCTTCTGGTGAGCTCCTCTGTTATACTATTCATGCTTAGTGCTCGTCAATGAAAATACTTTGTTAACCCTCTGCACTGCGAGAAAATATAAAAAAATAAGAAAAGAATTTGGTATAACATTATTTTATCCGCAGCTCCGTTTTCGAGAAAATCGTCTTTGAAGTTTGTTAATCTTGCGAAGAATTTAGTAGTATTTATCGTACGGTTAAAGCAATACAAAGTGTTCCTACCGGTAATTAATTTTTTAGCCACCATTGTCGATGTTTGTAAACACTATCTTGGACGGAATAATTGATCTTTTGTATTCGCGAAGTACAGCAAAGACTGCTTAATTGACGCGCAGATTGTGCACAAGAATGGACAATTTGGGAAGAGGAGATACGATTGTTCGAGCCTTGCAGTTAGATTTTATAGTTACCGATTGTCAACGATTGTACAAACGAGCTTTAAAAAAATCATAATATGATTTCTCAGACTGTCTAAATGAAATTTGATAAAAGATTGCAGCGGTACAGAAGAAGCGGCAAAATTACCATAGTTATCGGTAGTTTTGTTATGTCCGCTCAGGGAGGACATCGAGTCATCGCGTCACTTATATACGCTTAGAATAGCGATTCTAGTATAGTTAATTATAGCTATTCATGTTCGAAATGTCCGCTTATAAAGTTAATTTAACTATAAATTTTTCAGGTACTTATCGCGGCAGTCAATTAAATTAAGTCAGTCGAATTACTAATTCATTTCTCAATTAAATGAGAAAACAGTCGATTAATTGGTCAGTTGAAGAATTAAAAGACTGGAAGAATGAAGCTCCGGGGATTGTTTTCAGTCAGTAGTCTCTATTTCTATTGACGTTGTTCAGGTATTTCATTGTCTCCTATGTACGTTTCCGGTATTTTCCAGTATATTTTCGTGTTTGCTATATAACTCTGATTTCTAAACTGTATTCATTACCGGTCGTTCTCCGACGAAACAATGCTTGCGAACCTTTCGGAGGATAATTCTAGAAGGACACGGCTTGCGCGCGTAGCCTCAACAGCGAGAACCCCGAGCGAAAATTCGTTGGATATATCGAGAGCTTGGCTCTCGCGCGGACTTCCGGGGACCGATCGTCTTGGTGCGGGGAACGTTAAGTACAGTTATACAAGAGAGTGTCGTCTACCGTGCCGGTGTTAGAACGTAGGAGAAAGAGAGTAACGGATTCGATAAGGTGTTTCGCGATATCTATCTGTAGACACACAACGTGCGGGCCAATTATAAACGCGGAGCGGTACACGTATGCATTAATAATGTCTCCTTGTCGAGATATTCAGGACGGTCTCGGAGTGTAACGTTGAGCAACCGAACTCGCCCTTGCCAAGAAACACATGGATTAACATTGCGCGATCTCCCTATGTCCGTATATTAGTGTCCTTTGCTCGTGTGTCGGTGTCTCGTTTCGACGGTAGAGCGCAGCGCGCCTACCAAACCAGAAAGCTTTTTTGCACCGAAGTCTCTTTTCACTCCGTCTCGATCGTCAATATTCGCGAGTACTCGTCTTCCGAGCTATCGTTGTCGCATGCACGCGCGTACGCGTTTCTCGCGACCGCCGGTTACCAGTGACGTCACTTCCCCCCTTCACCGGGTCGCCAATGACGAATTCGTTCGCGATTCTTCTGCCGGAGAAATTAGGCGTCGCTAATTTTACAGGATACTTGGCCGAACGTGGTTCAGTATTATTAAACTCGATTAGACTGGATTTCAACGCGATGAAACATGGTGGTTGCACGAGGGTGGTGTCTCGATCGTCTCGTTGCAACTGTTCCGTGAAAGACGCTTAGATTTCATTTAGCCCTCTCTCTCCGTCGACGCGAACG